CTTAAATACCAAGCGCCTCTATCTAGACCTCCAGTACGATACCAAAACCTTGTTTCTTAGACCCTCAGTGGGATGCCAAAGCTATTCATATTTCCAGAGCCTGACCATGGCACACCTGGGGCTACTTGCCCGGCCCTTGTCCATTATATAAACTCTGTATCATCGGCTCCATCCTTCGCCATATCCTGTAACATGTTAAGCAGATTGGAGTTCCTCTGAGCCAGTCTGTTGATATTGTCAAGGACCAGCATGGGCGGGTGGCCATTGATCTCTATAAAGAGCTTAGCCTGATTACAGAATTCCTTAAAAACCTTGTCCAGAATATCCCTCTCATCTTTCCATGATGAGCTGCTAGAACTATACAACTAGGCATTTGTCACTCAGAAGCAGTCAAATTTGTTGCCAAGGCACAATAAATCACGTCCCTAATGCCAAGTCCAATGAACTTTGTAAAGGTAGCCTAGATATCTTCAAATGGCTAGCCACTGGCTCCTCAAGAAAAAGTGTCTGTATCTATAAACCCCACTCCATCAGAGCAACTAAGGAACACTAAACTAGGAGACTCACCAGATCCCTTCTCAGTACCGATACCCCTGTATGACAACAGCGCATCAACCCAGAAATGAGTATTGGGAGTCCAGTACAGGGCTTTTGCAAACTCATTGGCAAATTTCTTTTTGGTAATGCTTTTGGGACTAATGTTATAGTAAAGAATACCATCTGATTGGTACCCAAAGTAAAGGTCTAACATAATTTTTCCTGTGCCATGATTGCTGACAACCATATTGTAGCAAGCATCCTTACTTTTAGCCTGCAGGACAGACTCAATAGCACAGGCAGCACTCTTGCGCTCCACAAAATACTGCTTCTCCTCGGCATCCGGAACAGATCCTGTCGTAAATGCACTATAGATACCTTTCTCTCTGATCTGATTATTGTATTGAGTGGAAAGAATATTAACCTCAGAAGTAGCAAAAAATCCAATGAGAGCAAGCCTAAAGTTTGTCTGAAGAACTATGTATTGTCAGTTTTATACAAGCAGTAAGGTACTAGAGTGGGTAGTAATTGAATTACAATTGGAAGCCATCTCCGTAACTCCCAACATTTCAACACAAAGCTCCTGATATGTTGTATGAAGCCAGATATCCAAGGAGATGCCCACATGGAAAGTCCACAGCAAGTTACTTGATGAAAATACTTTGGAACTGAAGTAGGAAACTCTGAGAGCGGGAGACGTGATGCTTGTGGCTGGTAGACATGGAACCTGGAAGCAACAGAGGTACAGGGAAAGTAAAAGCAAGGAGAGAGATAAGGCTGAATTTGAGCAGCCCTAGAAGCCATCATAGCTGCAGATGGTATTGTTGGTAGATAGAGTTTGTTATGCGATGCTGGTAGGTGGGCAAGGTAGAAGGGAAGAAGGAGCTGGAGGCTGGGAAGTAGGGGAAAAGAGAAGGAGGATTATCGAGCATAGAGCAAACAAACTGATCTGCACGCAGACCATGTATAACCAAAACTAGAGTTTAGTCTGTTCAGTTTAGGGATTTGTTTTATGTTTTGTTTTACTTGTGGTGGTAAGTATCCTTTGATACTCACATTGTTTTACTTGTGGTTTCGAGTATCCTTTGATACTCAGTTTCTTTTACTTGTGGTTTCAAGTATCCTTTGATACTCAGTTTGTTTTATTTGTGGTTTCAAGTATCCTTTGATACTCAGTTTGTTTTACTTGTGGTTTCAAGTATCCTTTGATACTCAGTTTGTTTTACTTGTGATTTCAAGTATCCTTTGATACTCAGTTTGTTTTATTTGTGGTTTCGAGTAAGGAATACTTGGGAACTCGTCCATACAAAACATGGATAAAATCTTATATTTAAAGACTGCTGATTCCCTCAGAGGAACAGCAGACTTCGACTGATGGTATTTCTAATATACTTGGTTGAATGGTTACCTCTTCAAGTCCCTATTCTTTATATCTTTCTCTCAGAGCCTCCCTTAGCAAAGTACACCTACAAGTTGTAGATCAACTTGTGCACTACTTCTATTGTACCTGGAAGCGTGACTAGCATCCTGGTATGAACACATTATACCATGTCTTAGATAAGGATTACAGAACTATGTATTAACTTTTAGAACCTCCCATGAGGCTCAGATGGTGCTGGCACCTTAGAGCCTACCATGGTACCTAAGTCTTACTCGTGTTTCTCAGCCAAGATTTGGCACCCAATTTACGCTAGCGGGTGGCACCAGTTCTTTTCCACTGAAGCAGTATAGCGTGCCAATAGTGCAGAGCTATATACCATCACCTGGGCCACCTAACTCTCTGTTTTTTTTCCCAACTTTTGGCATTCAGCTCTGGTGATTCCCTCAGAAGAGTTTAGCCTAGAACTAGCTACACACTATTCGAAAGCTTTTCTCCTTCCACAGATGAGGACTTGTGCTACACACTAGGACAAATAGGGTCTCAAATCTTGGCTGAGAAGCACGAATACCGGTATCTGCATGATAGCACCGCCACATACAGTATGAGGCTGGTGCCAAAAATGATAAGCAGCAATATGCAAATTTTTCACCATCGCAACCACCAACCATCTTGAGAAAAAAATGAATACCCTACCACTGCAGGCCCCAATGGGTGAATGGACAAAAGCAGTAAGAACTAGAGTAATTACTCTACTGGAGACTGAGTTATCACAGTCAGAAGTGGCTCACAAGACAAATGTACCATGTTCAATGGTTTCACGATAGAGTCGTACTCCAAAGTTTTGATGGACAAGATTGTGACCTGGGTGCCCATGCCGCTTAGACAAACACGATATTCGAAGATTGATAGGTCACCTTAGAAGTGGATGGGAAAGAAGAAAGTTATACTGCAGATGGCTTGGTCAAGAAGTTGGTCAGTCAGTATCGGAAAGGACAATTCAGGGGGGGCCTTTTACGCTATGGTTATTCTCGCTGTAAGGCTTGTAAAAAGCCATTTATCAACTGACAAAACCAGCATGAACGGATGAGGTATGGGTGTGAGCACTGGCAAAAACCCGTCGACTTTTGGCAAAAACTCATGTATTCAGATGAGTGTTTCTTCGACACATCAAAACAAGGTTCTACTTAGGTTACTCGTTTACCCCATGAACATTACCACGATCATTGTCTCCAGCATACTTTTCACAGTGGAAGGAGTTCAGTTCATGTTTGGGGTGCTATCAGCCATGATTGGAAGTCACCTTTTGTTTTTCTTGTTAGTAGTGGAAAAAAAGGCCTGGTGATGAAGGATTATTTAGAACAGGTTCTGAAGCCTATTGTTTCTCCAGCTTTTCACAGTTTATTGGGCTTTTCTGTATTTCCTACTTCTCAATGTGTTGAAGATGGAGCACCAGTACCTGGGACCCATTGTGCCTTGGGTGGGATCAAGGCAAAGTTAGGAATACCGCTACATCTTTGACCAGCTGCCTCTCCTGACCTCAATCCCATCGAAAATGTCTGGCACTTGATGAAGCAACGTATCAAGGCACGCGACACCTTCCCAAGAACTCTTCAGGAAATGTGTGAGGCTTTGGAGGAGGAGTAGGAGAATCTGGAACTGCAGGATTGGAATTGGTATATTGATACCATGCCAGATCGGCTCCGGCAAGTCAAACAACGAAGAGGCATGCAAACAGAATTTTAGTTATATTTTCTTTACTGTCAACCTTTGCTGCAATATTTCCTTTACTTTCATCTTATTTGTTCTCTTTGTGGTTCATATGTGGTATGGGAGGGTATTCTGTATCTGAATTCGAGGTGTTGTTTTTGTTGCAACTGCTCATCATTTTTGGCGCCAGCCTCGTACAGTAAAGCCAGATCACCTCATCCCCATCACCATCAATCAGGACCAATAACCCCCGGTGCCCTACCGCATGCACGGTACGATTCCAGTGCTCGTATCATACGAGTACTGTCCCGTACGGTACAATACTCGTGCAGTATGATAACCCGCCGATCACTCCAGTTGCACAAAACAACAAACAAGCAAAAATAAAAAATAAAAAGACCCCCGAGAGTTCAAGACCGGGTGTGCGATACCGGCACAGTATCGTATCACAGTTCAGATTCGCAGGGTCTACTCTACACCATACGAGCAATATGCACGCCACCCCGACCCCCCCCCCATGACCACAAGTACCGTACAGTACCGGTACAGTATCATACCGCCAAACAACACCAAATCTAGCACCCGCCACAACCCGCCACAAAAAAAATTCCCTTTCTTTTTTTTCTTTTTTCTTCTCTTCCCTTTTCCACCGATCGATCGGAAGGCAACGCACGGGCAGGTAGTACGAGTACATACCTAGCTCTAGACCAACGTCCATAGCGGTCGACGGGGCGGCAAGGTCGGTAAAGTAACCCGTACTCGCACATTACCGTATTCGTGCCGGCACTGTAATCGTCCATGGTCTACGGTACCGTACTCGAGTAAGGCGCTGCCCACGGCCATCTCCACCAAAAATCAGGTAGGGTCAAGATCGAGATGGGACAGCGGCGATCGCACCCGAGTGAGGTGTTGTGAGTGACGTTACCGTACCCTATCCTGCTATCTTACCCGGCTTCGAGAAAATCATCCATGCCGTGCGTGGGGGGAGGGGGGAAGAGGTGTGTGGGGGGTTGCATCGAGATACAAGCTGGGGTCCACGATCCGGGAATTCTTTTTCGGATCCTTGTGCCTCTGACTCTCTGCCGGTCGTGGGTTATCGTAGCGCGGAGGGAGGGAGGGCGGACGGAGGGACGGACGGGGGGAGGGAAGTCAGTTCGTCACCTCTCTCTTTCTCACACACACACACACACGCACCCGGACCCATTGCGAATCCGTGCCTGGTCGTGTTTCGTATTTCAGATGTTGGTATAAATGTTTGATCGGGCGGTTTTGGGTGTCGGACCCAAGTGGTGTAAATACCTCCTCCACCCACCCCCTTCCTACTTTCTTACTGCGTGTGTAGAGTATATAAAAGTTTACGATACTTCGCCCTACTGGGGGCAAATCCCCTTCGTTCGACGTGGTAGCAAAGCAAGAGTTTGAACACGTATGCTTGCTTACTTGCTTGCTTTCCGGATGAACACGGTACGGCCTTTGAGGTGATCACTTGCTTTCGTTTGCGAGGGTAATAGAGATTAAATTTCATGATTAACCCAACCGCCTGCCCCGGACGCCCAATAGAGTGCTAGAGTGCAGTGGTGTGCGCTGCCCGCAACGGGCGTCTGCGCGCATCACACATGACATGACGAGAAAAGTTTAATGCCTGCACCACTGCACATGGTAGGTAGTAGCGCTGGGGCTGCGCTGTGCTATTATAGCACCTACTCCGATGCGCGTTTCATAAACATGTATAGAGAGAAGGCTAGAAATTTCGTAAAGAAAACAGGAGAAAAGAAGAACCCTACCATCTACACTGAATATTGGAATAAAACGTAAAAGTAAAGATAACAGTAACAGTAAGACAAGCCAATCTTTTGTATAAATCTGTAGTAGAAAACGACTCCCGATTCGAAACAAAAAAAACACGGAAACGGAAAGGCTGGTATCACTAATGGAGATATTGAAACAAAGAAAAAAAAAAACTCCCCGAGCTCCGGTAATGAAAAACCACCTCATGAGTTGAGAAAGAAATAAAGGAAAAAGAAAAAAAAAGTCCCACTTTTCAACGGAGAATGCCAACATAACAAGCTGGGCAATCAGAATAACAGAAGGAATGAGGTGAAAATGGAAATGAAAAATAGCCCAAGAACATCTCAAGCCCTTCGCCATCGTCAAAAAATAAAAAAAACACAAGGGACAAATGGATAAATACACTAGTACATGTCGCCAATCATGCCCCTATCCTTCTTCTGCGACTTCTTCACTACTGGTATGGCGCTCTCGGACGAGGTCCCCGAAGCCCTTCCCCGCTTGAGGTTCTGCCTGTTATCGGGATGTAATCCAAATTGCTCATCGCTGGTAAAGGAAGAGAGGATGCCCCCGCTATCGCCACAGTCGTCCCAGGTATCGCCCGCCCCAAACAGGTTCATCTTTGGGGGCTCGGTCATCATGCCAAGTCTGTCGACGACACCGCTGGCGGGGCTGGATGGCCCACTTGCGTCTCCTGCCGTGGCGGCGGATGATCCGACGTCCCCGGCACCACCACCGGGCCCCACGGGCCTATAAATGCGCATCCCGCTTGCGGCAAGGATGTCGGTGCCAAAGTCCTCGTCGCCGGAATTGCCGTAGATGTCGACGTTGTTCCTCAGGTTGGACACCCGTCGAAAGTATTCATCCGAACTGGACGATTGCGGTTCTGCGCCGGAGCCAGAGTCACTGCCCACAGAGGAGGTCTCGTCGGATTGTGGGAAAAAGAGGCAGCTTGCTGGGGGTAGTTGTGAGGGCGGTAGCTTGAGGGTTTTGGCCGAGAGGATCACTGGGCGGAGGAACTTGTGGCCGAGGAAAACTAGGCGCTGCTTTTCGGCCTTGGAAGATGGTTCGGATGGCTCATCCTCGGAATCTTCCACCCCTGATTCCCCTCCAGAGTCCTCTCCCGAGCCAGATTCTTCCTCCATGGACCCTTCCTCGGATCCACACTCGGACTCCTCTTCAGAATCATCTCCCATGGGCTCGTTCTTCTGGAAAGCGTCAATCGAGGACTTGGGAATGTGATGCCCAATCAGATTCAAGATCCTCGACTTTGACGCATTAGCCCGGGAAAGCGGCAAAGCTCCCTTCGAATTTTGGGGAAGTAGATAATGCTTCGTTTGAACATTGATAGCGAAATTGTCCTCTGGGAATACCCCGCCGATCCCCGAAACCTCCAATTCAATAGGAGTCGGTGGAACCGTAGGACTAGAAGATGAAGAGAATCTTGGGGAAAACTGAAGACCAACATCGCTGTCTCCGTCCTCCATAGGCTCATCCGAAGACTGAGCAGTCTGCGCTCTCGCAAACAATGGACTCTCCAACTTTGTCGGGCTCTGGGGTTCGGGTTGGGTCTCACCAATCGGGTTATTCGTGAACCTATCGTACCCATGTTTCGATACCACATGTCCCTCCGCATCAACCTTTTGAGCACTAAGATCGGTGCAAAATTTGGCGCCCTCGTAGTAGATGATCGGCCCGTCGAGGGAAAGACCCTTCCTCTTACCACTGCTTCCGGACTGCCCGGTGCCTTCATCCGAGCTCGCGCGCTTAAGCAAATCATACGAGCCGAGGGAAGTGCTCATAGCGCTCGAAGAATCATCGTCGAAAGAGCCGGATCGAGCAAAAAGAGGCTTGTAATGAAACTTATCCTCTACGCTGGGAGGCGCGGTAAGAGGCAACCTCCTTGAGGACCTTCCAGACCCAGACGGGGGATCCAGAGAGATCATGCCCTTGCTCTCGGGCGAACTCTTGGACCACCCGTCAGGACTTCCATCACTCGACATCCCTGCACTCGTGGCACCCCCCGAACTACTGCCACAGCTCAACTTTGTTCCCTCGTACCCACCCTTCCACCTCACCATCCTGCCGTCGGGCGATAGCTCAAGCTTCTGACTAACGGTGGTAATCGCCTTCTTCACGAATGGGACGGTAACGTTAACTGTGTGCAGCTGCGCCAGACCCGCGACCAAGTTTAAATAGAACCAGCCATCGCCTAGTCCTTCGAGTTTGGTGTTATCCTTAGAACTAGATGTAGTTAGGCTGACCAGATACTCAAGGTTCTCCTCCGGCGCCTGGCGGAAGGGGTCCAAGTCAGTGAGCCTCGTAGGGCGTTGGTCAGGGACCGGGACTTCCAAAGGCCTCCGATGCGAGCCAGCTATGGGATCACTGAATTCAGCGATCCGATCGTCATGAGAAGGAGACATTATTGGAGCTTCTCGCGCACCCTCCTCGGGAATATCTCTCCCCAGCTCGCGATCTTCCTTCTGATAATCCATTGGACTCGGCATTTTGCTCGACTTGAAACCTGTGAAAAGTTGCTCAAGCCTCCGGACGACTTCCTTCATCTTGTGCTTCTCGGTAACTACTGGCAAAGGCATGCTTCGCATGTGGCTCGGCGCCTTATCGCTCGACGATGTAGACATAGGCGTAGCAACACTTCTGGGCTTGGGCTGAGACGGGACAACAGACCCACTGCCCGATCGTGGATTCGACGCGTAAGCAGAGTCTGCATTGCGAGAGGATGGGTTTGTCCGGCTCGGGGGTGTCATGAGCCGGTCGGCCTTCGAGCCAGTGGAGCCCCCACCACCATTGTTACCGAGGGTGGAAGCAAAGTCTTGGAGGAGCTTCTCAAGTTCCTGTTTCTTGTATCTGTGTTTCCGGGATTCATCGGTATCAGTGGTTTGTCGATTATATCATCACTATCAGAAAAAAAAAACATACAACGGCAGCCCATGTATTCGGACTTCAAACAACTTTTCATCTTGCAGATTACCGCCTTGAAGGCCCTCAAGCTTCTTCAGACGCTTCTTGAGTTTTTGATCTGGTATCCTTCAGCATGCATACTAGTAGTAATAAGGTTCAAAGATAGATCAGTACTTTTTATAGTTAAATCATCGATTACACTTCTGAAACTATCGCTATTACTCTCTTCCGTGCTGTCCAATGCCCCTGAGCCCCCATAAACTCTTTTACGATCAAGGCCAAGCCCGGGAGCACGATGGCTAAACCTGGCGCGGGAGCAATTAGAAACCCCAGAGGGCAAGCACTTTCTCCGAGTCGCATTGGAGATAAAGTAAGGTAATTCATCTGTGGCCGTCCATAGCGTCAGCCGTCTCCTGCACAAGCTTGCACAACATCCAAGTCTGCGATCAAAAGGCTCACGAGCAGCACTTACCATCGTATGTGGAGTAGTTGTTAGCGCTAACGTTTTGATTAAGTGTATTAAACCAATCCTCTGGTGTCTCGCGATACGTATTTCCGGCCTCTCCACTTCCAGCACCAGAGCTCTCAACATCCACAGCAGGCGGTAAAACTCCGGGCTCTCCTTCAGGAGCAGAACCCGCGCTCCCTCCAGGAACTCCCAAAGATCCTATCGCCATCCTCCATTCTCCGAGCATAACATCACCTTCCTTCTCTTCGGAGGGTGGCAGGCCCATTCCAACATCCGGGTCACTGCTGTCAAAGCCGCTGTCAATATTTGGATTCGTAGAAAGGAATTCTTGATTTGCAAAACCGGAACCTCCCATCACTCTTCCACCGGACATCTCCTCCATGGACTGCTTCCTTCGTTGTACAGCGGCATCACCGGTACGCGGCATATGGGCAGGCTGTGCCGTATTCATAGCGCCCTTGTGGTGATGTCCTAGGGTGTTTGATTCCTCCGGGGGCTTTCTTCGTGAGTTCTGGGGGTGATCTGACATTGATGAAGGCGTAAGGATTCCCGTGGAAGTTGTTGCTGGCCTCACTAACAACTGTTGGCGGTACTGCTGCTGATGTTTCAGGCAGGAATGGGAAGAAGGAAGAGGTTGTTGTTGAGTAGGTAGAGTTGGCATGGCCCTCCTATGTCGATGGGATCTTGAATTGGTATGGAGATCGATGTTTATTTGAGACTCCGGCTGACCGGTCGAGATCGAGGACTCATAGTTGGCTTCGTAGTTAGCCAGAGTTAAGGCTGTGCGCAAGAGGAAGGCCTCTCGTAATATAAGTTGAAAAACAGCTTATGATATCTCGTTGGAGGTTTGGGTCCTCTGATTGCGTGCCCTGACTCTCCAGATCGTTGGTAAATATTCTAGCTAGCGAACGACGATTGAGTGACAAACGAGTGTATGAGGGGCTTTTCCACCTATGCCTTCGGGGTTTATACCTAGTGTTCTAAGGTAAAGAGATTGCTGCTCGCAGTTGCGATCGAGAGTTGACCGTAGGGCAGGGGCCACGCCGTTGTATATCTCGACAGACCGCGTGTTTTGAGATCTAGTCGGCCAGAGGGAAGCGAGAGTAATATTGGAAGCTGTGCGGTAGCAAAAGCCGATAAGACAAAGCGGAAGGACTAAGAGGGTGTGGTGCCTGTGTGGAGATGCAGGTGGTATGGGGGTAATATTCTTGGGATTGGTGTAGGAAGTTGTGGTGGTTGCGTTCTGCAGCTGGATTGTCCAGGCAAGCAGCGTGGGAGCAGGCGGATTCAAAACCGAGACGGGGAACGGGGAACAGGGACGAATGAGGGTACGGAATGGAGTACCGTACGGTACAAAGTTTAGGGGCGGGAATAGCTATTTCTCTCTCTTCTGGTGCAATGGGGTACCGGAAAAAAAATGTGAGGCTGCCTATTGTAGTCGCATCTGCTGTGTTGCGGTGCTTCGGTAAGTCAGTTGTGCAGAGAAATGTTTTTTTTCCCTCCCTCCAAGCGGTAGGCGTAGAAGCAGGAGCAGTGAGCAGTAAGGGATTGAGCCGTGTGTGTAAGATGTTTATGCTCCTACTTGCTGGCTTTGCGTTGTTTTTTCTTTTCTTTTCCTTTCTTTTTTCTTTTTCCACCTGCTTCCTCTCACTCCTCCTCGGTGGGGGGGTTTAGATTCCAAAGGGGTCTTTCGTTGCTGATTGATGCTTGCTGCTGATAGCTTTGGCTGTTGTGCTCGCCCCATCCAGTGCAATTGGTGATGAAGGGAGAATGGAGTTCTAATTGCGTCCACCCCTTTGCGCGTAAGGCGAATATGATTAATTTTTCCAAATCAAGTGACTTTTCCCGTACGGTCTCGATTGTTTGAGACCGGATGGTTGATTCTCGATATTCACACGGTCAGTTGTATATTGCAGGAGCAGCAGCACTATTGCGGTGCCGATATCAGGTTTGCCCGGTACGGATGACCTCCTTTTTCCCTCTTCACTCTCCTCCCTTCAAGCTTCGAGGCCGCAATACCGTAGAACGATGGGCCGAGAATCGGGGAAGCGAATCAAAATCTTGCTAAAAAAAATGAAAAAAAATGAGAAAAGAGGGTCATCAATTAGGAGGGTCCGGTGGTGGTACTGAGCGAACCCGATGAATCGGGCTGTACTCGAGCAATCAACAATGGATCTGCTGCGAGCTGCGAGCGCTGCGCTGTGCTGTGCCTGCTGCCCTCGTGTTTCCGGGCTGTCTCCATTGATCGCTCACAATTGCTGGCATCCAAGGGAAGGGAGCCTCCTTTCCCCCAGACGGCCCTCCCTCCTCTGTTCCACCCCTCCCGTTTCTGGAATGGTTTCCTCCATTCCAAGTCCATCTGGTGCTTCCCTGTCTCTGAGCGCCCTGACTCCTGGCTAACTTTTGGAAGCTGTCCGCCATCTCGCCGGAAACCGTTGGGTCCTCTACTCGTACCATAATAAAGCTCGATCTCGACGGTTCCGAACCCCACGAATAGTTGCCAGATTGGCAGGCGAGACTATCGATGCCGAGGCGCCAAGCCACTAGCGCAGATCGATAAATACCAAGACATCTGACAAACGGAGGCGAGTGACAACTCCGAAAAGGGAAGGCCAAACTCACTGTACCGGATTATCGCCTTACTAACCAAACAGCCCATCGGCTGGGTCATCTTGAAGCTTTGCATAAACCAAAACATCCCCCCCCCCCCACCAAGGAGCATATCCAACACCCCACCTTTGTCCCTCCTAAGAACTTGAAGAAAAAAGAAAAAAAAGTACCCCCATAATAACAACGCAACCGGAACACACTTTATCACAATCACCAGTTTATTTTTTGAATTCCTTAGGCTCCGGTGTCTGAGCAAAGCTCCGTTTCCGGCCGTTTCACAGTCCATCACACCCTCTCTGCCTAAAATTTGACACAAAGATGCGGTGTCGATCGGGTGTGATTCCTTGGACCCTGAGTTGCGCAAGCATCTCGATATGGATGAGGGACACCCCTGACTACGGATTGGGCAGGCTTCAATGTTCGGTATAGCTCAAATGGGGTATAAACTGTGCTTACCTAAAAACACTCTACCGTATTCGAGTAGAACCCCAAGTATCCCCAATGCATCGCACAGGGATTAGAAAAAGGAAAGAAAGGAAAAAAAAAAGTACGGTACCAGTACCAGTATCCGAGTTGAGTACCATACCAGCACCGCACTCGAGTACCGTACCGGTACTTGTCGGGAGAGGTAAAAAGAAGAGGAAGAAAAAAAGCAAGTGGTGAGAAAAGAAAAAAAGGTGCGAGGATCATGAGCTCAAAACAAGAAATCGCGAAAACGAGGAAAATAGCAACAAGAAATATTATGTGGGATATAGACTGAGCCGACACACCCTGAAATCAGTTCCAGCGCGGATGGCCTGCAGGCTGTACTCGTACATATAAACTAGGGTTCTACGCTCTTTAGACCCCAGGACATACCGGTATGGCGACCTTTCGCGTACCCGTGAGTGTCTTCATGAGGAGGCACTTAACCACCACAACACAGGAATATGGTACGGCGCCCACATCGATATCTTACAGCAAACAGATATTATCCAGCTAATGGTTGGGGATATGAAGGCGTGAACTCCCCGGGAGGTTAGGGAATGGGCGAGAGGGTGGAGGGGGGAAAAAAGGGTGCAGGTGAACCAGATTCATGTTTTCTCTCGCTTTGAAGGATCTCTCATCCCTTCCTTCATTACTATCCACGTAAAACACCTTTCCTACCCTGCTTACCTCGGCCCTACTTATCAGGATTAATAAATCCAGAAGACGGTCCTATCTATTGAGAGGGAGAGGGAGAAACTCGGATCCCCACGTGCAGAAAGAGATCGAGATGAAGGGACTCAGAGAGGCAAGGAAGGCGAAGAAAAAGAAAAAAGAAAAAAACCAGAGGCAAACGCGAAGGCGGGCTAGACCAAGGGACCAGCAAGCAGCCGGCAAGCAGGAAACCCTCCCCTCTCCCTTCCCTCTTTTCGCTCTCACTCTGGTTCTCTCTGCCTTACAGCAGGATTTCCGATTTCACTCGCTAAGCTTCGCCTATTCTCGACATAACGACAGAAGGAGCCGACATAAACCGATTCGTTCGGGATTCCTGATCGTTACGGCCAAACTGACATCAATTCCGAAGAGGGCACCAAAATCCATCCCATCGAGATTAAGACCCCTTCAACCTGAGATGCCCACCACAAAGAAAGGAGGACGACGAGACGCAGTTCCAATTCTGTCTATTTCGAACGCTTTGCATCTGTTGTTGCCACACGTGCCGTAGAGTATTAAGATAACCCTCGGGGGGACCCTGAATGAATTATTTTTGAACCCTTTCACCCCCCACTGTGCGTGCGACAAAGGCGAGAGGGAGTTTTCGGGGTTTCGTTGGGGCAGGAGATTGACTTGGAAAATCTCGATTTCTCCCCGGGTCTCCGGGGTTTGAGCTGCCCCTAAAGAAAACAAAATTAATTTTTAAAATTAATTTTTTTTCCTTTGCCCCTTCCTAAGCATACGGTATTCGCTGGATTCTCTTGGGCGGTTATCAAAGGGTACGAGTTTTCGTGCATCAAGGCGTTCCTCTAGGAAAAAGAGCGAGGGTGGGGTGGTCAGCATGAGCAGGCTTTGCAAAAAAGAAAGGCGATTCTCACTAATTTTGCGATCCCCATTCCCATGGTGCAATGGAAGCAACACCAAGAGAAAGCTCCGAGACCGCGCCAATGGCCCTGGAATGGGAGAGATCGACGCTGTCATCGAGATGAATTTCTCCCTCTCTTTTTCCCTCGTAGCGAGGTACTGGTGATCCCGTTTCGCTTGTTGTTCTGGGGGTCGCGGGGTGTGAATTTTTCCATCACGACTTTTCGGTTGGAGGAGTTCTTGTGCAGCTGCGGTTTTACAGCAGAAGGGGGGGGGGATGATGGGGCAAGCAAGTCGTGGCTACTCTCGTAGTTGCCACGGCCAAACAAGAAAACGGGACAAGCTTTTTCATCGATTTTAGTCAGCAGTTCGCTAGACAGTAATAAAAAAAATCGGAGAAATTGCGATTCTGCCTGCCATTCATGTCTCGTACCAAAAGGGTAATTATCCGGTTCACAATCCTGCGCTCTAAAATGTTGACTTGTGGTCTTCGCATGGAAGATACTTGAAATGGAAATACCGGCAGGAGTTCTTATCCCACAACACAGCACCATGTGCGTGGGAGTGTGTACCGTACAAGTACAAGTATCCGTATGTGGTGTTGCACAAGGGTATTATGGTAATACCGGTAATTTAGGATCTATTTTTACGCCACGCATTTAAGCTACTGTGAGAGACAGACACCTCCGGTTGGGTGTTGAGGGGAGTTTTCGCTCCTTGCTGATTGCTATCCTAGAGGAGGAGGTCTATCTCGTATCTCCCTCTTTACCTCAAAACTATAAATTTATAATTAAAGACAAGTACTAGCTGGTACCTATTACCATTGTATCCTATCCCGAGTTCCTCTTTGTTGATTGCTATTGTACTCGTAGAGAGAATATAGGTATTCAAGCTAGAGACATATTGATCACATCCCCAAAGCTGTCCGTGCAATTGGACATACTGGTAGTCTGCCCTCGGGCCATCTACATGTTTGACGTTATCGCACTCACTCCCCTGCTCCTGTACGAGTACCATAGCCTCCGGGCAATCGCGGGAGAAGGGCAATGAGTATTTATCTGATTGTCGTACAGTAGTAGTACTGGTTCAGCACCGGTGCAGAGAAAGGCTGGCCCTTCCCTACCTCCCGTAGTGCTGATTATGTGAAACATGCGTATTGTACCGGTACGGTACTCAGAGATGGCCCTGAGTCAGAACCCTTTTTTTTCTTCTTCCTTTCCCTTTCCTCTTTTCTGCAAGGTAAGGTGCAATACCAAGACGGCCATCCACGAGTACTGTACTCGAGCGCCGGCAACAGACGTTAACGGTAGGGGGAGGGTCGGAAGGATGAATTGTTGATGATTGTGTGTACGAGACGACTTATGAGTATTGTAGAGCAATCGATAGGGAATTGACGGTTTAGGCTTTGAGCATCTGTTGGTCCCCTACGGTAACTTAACCTTTTACCATAGGATTGAACTAGACCGCCCACGACCCACGACCCCCGAGCGAGAATATGAGGGGAGCAGGCGGAGGACATCCCACACCGCTGTATGGGTTGATATGATATGGCACTCCACTCTAGACTCGTGTTCTTCCTGGTCCGCCAGCGCAAGCATGCTGTACACCTCCGTCTCCTCTGGAAGAGTTACTGGTATTGTAGAAATTTCAACCGTTTAGGTGGGGGCGCCTTCCCCTCACTTAGTGGATATCCCCTTATCATATCAGATTACTCGTGCGGTTGCTATCGGTAATATTGTCGTGAATTCTCCCTCCGACCACCACCACCACCACCACCACCATCCATTGACCCCTCTCCCCCTTTCTGTTTGCTGTACTTGTACCGGTGCTGTGCACCCACCGCTACCACAATCACTGTCACAGCAACTCTCTCTTGTTTTTTTGTTTTTTTTTGCTTCCGGGGGTGGATAGACTTCGTTTTTCAGTGGTCTTTCAACTTGCGCCCTCGAATTTCACATTACGGTATTATTCTTTTGCCCTTTTTTTTCCGGTTCCAACCTTTAGCCCCCTCCTTCCAACCCATTATTCTTCACCACCCTCCCCCAGTAAATTGTATATCGTTCATCGCCCTTGCTGTCCTCTCGAAACAATGTCTTCCTGAAGGTCAGCCCTATCGATTGGTCTTTCGATTTCGTCCAGGACCGCGTTTCGTGTCCTCTTAACCGGATACCTTGCATGAAAGGATCAATTGGACGTGGCTGCTTGCTTTTTAGTAGTCTATTTTTATCCCTTCGTTTGCATCCATTGGGTGATCGATTGGAGGAAAAGGGTAACGATTTCACCCGTTCGTTCGTTTGTTGGTTGACGGATTGAACTGATTGAACATTCAATTCAGTTGAAGCAACCAGCCAGAGGAGAGGAGCCACGAGCAAGTAACCTACTGGCACCCGAGGACGGAACGGAGAAAAGAAAGGAAAGGAAAAGAAAAGGGGCGAAAAACTGGGGACGGAACATTAAGTCAAGTGAACGAACAGTTGGACGAACGAGCAGGCGGAGAAGCAAGGACTGATCCATCTGGAAGAGGATAGAAGGAACGCCTTTTTTCCCCTGATCTCCACCCTATCACACCGAACGGTTACGGACTGGTCCGCAGGCTTTGATCCGAGGCTGCCTCGGAGAACACGAGTACAGAACGGAAAGACCCCTTCCCCTCCTACCCTCCTACCTTCTTCATCACCACCCCCCCTTTTTTCCCCTGCGGACTAGTTAGGCAGGGACTGTATCCGCTCAGGCAGCTCTTGCCATCGCCCGCCCATCGCCGCCTCGCCACGCGACAGAACCCTATCCCCCACGGTGAGCAAGAACAGGGAAAAAGCTTAGCTCCTCAGGAAGGCAACAACAGCAACTCCCGCATCCCACATCCACAACCCGCAACCAAGCACCATTCCAAGCAGCACGCACTTCTCAGGCAGAAGCAGGTCAAGGCAAAAGAAAAAAAGACACCCCCGCCGATCATTCCAGGCCGAGCCAACACCATTTGCAGCCTCCCGACCTTGCAGCATCCTGTGTATGCTACCGGACGCGCCTACAAACCAACCATCGCCCCTACTGGACGCTATGAACTTCATCGTATGTGCATCATTCCCTTTTCTACTCTGTGCGCGCTACTACCAGTTCACCGCCCTGCATGATTACTTCATCCAGTGGTTATTAACAAATTGTCTTGCGATAGGTCTCCCTTGCCCACTTCTGTGAGATCCATGGCCCCACTTCCATCTTATGCACCCAGGCCATACCCCCCTCATGCGTTACCTGCTTTCCTCCTTCTATCGCTACGCCTTCTCCAAATGCCCCACATCAGTCGTTTGTACCTGGGGCTCAGCCGACGAGTAGTAATTCGCAGCTGTTGAATCCACACGTCAGGCCTGGTGGCTCACCAAACGCCGGCCTCCGGCCGAGCACTTCTCACCACGCTGGAAGTGCCAACTCATCCTCGGCATCTTCATCTAATCTGTCCTCGCCGATGGAGACGCCGCCACCATCGCCCAGAAGTCCCGTGCTCACAAGTTCTTCTCTACCTGCAACTGCAGCTGGGATTGGAATTGGGCCCGGATATCTGGGTGGGCCAGTAAACCCGGGATCGACGACCCCACCAACTTCATCGGCGATGGCTGACACTTGCCGAAGCTGTAGTATGACACTCCCGAGTCGGCTCAATGAAAAGTTATCAGCCCCAAGCTTGGCTTCTTCACCCTCAGGTGGAGCCAAATATCCTACTGCTACCAAGAGTAGCAATCCGGTTTTGCGGACGAAGGAGGTCATTGCCTCTTCCGCACCGTTGCTTTCCAGCGAGGACGAGGATGAAACCACTGAAGGGCAATTGCCGTCCTACATTCGAAGGCGGAGGGCTACCATTGATCCAGAACATCTACCAAGTTTGCCAAATGCACGATCGTATTTCAATTCCACCCCAGCCTCTGATGACGAGGCGGCTGGTGGGAAATCCTCGGTGGGCTCCTCTACGCATGCCCACCACATCACTTACCTTTCGACGAGGGCTCCTTCCGTACCCTCCCGCTACTCCACCCTCCGACAGTCATGCGTTCGGACTTTGTCCTGTGAATTGATACCTGCTCAGACTGGACCCATAATGTTTGGTGATCCACTGGCGGGTTATACGATCGCTTATGTATTTAGACTTGCAGATCCTAAAGCTCGGGGTGAAAGACGGTCATACGCATTGGTCTGTATCTGTCCCGACCAGAAGATTGTGGTAAAATCGTGGAAATATGTTGTCGCAGCCTTTGAAGCGTTAGTGCACCGCATAAAACTGCTGGCAGCGAAAAAGGCCGCAGAGGATGCACAAGTCTCACCGGGTCTAAGCAACTCAATCTCGTCCATCACCTCTCGGGGGCCAGATGGGTTTCTGCGGAGACGAGCTCCCGGAGAAGGTGGTGGACAGAAGGGGTTAGCAGAGTTGGCTGGACGGGAGGAGCTATTTGTTGAGGTCCACATGTGCTTTGTCAAGTTGCTTGGGGGATTGGTGCGGCGATATGGATGCTGGGCTGGGAGCGAGTTGGGTCTAAGTATCGGCACCGGCGGTAACTTTGTGACTCCCGTTATGGGCAGAAGTAGGGCGGGGAGCGTCAGCAGTTCAGTTGGCGACGAGAAACCCGAGAAGAAAGCTGTCACCAACCAGACAGTTATTGAAGGTATCGAAATGACTGGGAGCGAGCGAGCGGCCAGTGGAGCCAAAGGAACATTTCCGTCTACAACTGCAGGACTCAGTGTCCACGACACTGTCACGTCACGAGCTGCTCCTTCGGCACCGCGAGTGCCTACCGCAAAACGAGAAGAATCAACTCATCAGAGAAGTCGAAGCGCGATTTTGATTCATTAAGTCGGTATCAAAATCCCCGGTCATGTGGTCCGCCAGGTGCATTTGGCGGGTAATGGGAAAAGGGCTGGAACCATACTGAACCCGGACCTTGCATTAACGAATTTCGTTATTACGTTTTCTGCGGTGGTTTTAATTATTATTATTATTTTCTCATTCTCGCTGGCTTGTTTTCCATCCTTTCCTACAACGAGCGCTCTTGTTTACATATGTACTTCTATTAGCATTTTTTTTTCTTTTTCCATTACGTTCTTCCTCGAGCTTTGCAAGCCGACTGCTTGATTTTTTTTTTCCTTTTCTTTGGAGCAGGCATTGTCTCAAGGCATTACTACATTTTCGAAACTACATTTCTCTCACATTTCTTTTACTCATTTTCATAGAAGGGCAAAACTGGGGCGCTTTTTTTTTTTCTCCCCTTATCTTTCATTTTTAGTATTCATCAAAATCTTTGGAATAGCGGTATTCTTACTGGTATTACTTTTTTATCACAATGTGACTTGCCGGGCCATTTTTTGGGCTACCGTAAAGAGCAAAATTGAGGTAAGCACATCGAGTGAGCACTCGTGAAATTCGAAATGAGAAACTCTCGTTCCCGGGGCGGAGTGGGAGAATTGGTAGACTACCGGTACCGCTATGGTACAGTACGGTAAACCAGCGATGGAGAAAAAAGAAAAAAAAGGAAATCAGCGGCCACGTTAACCCTTCCAACTGGCCACGGAAGTCTACTACCGATTAGATTATTTCTCTTTACCGTACGGTACAAGTATCATAATCGCAAAAATAGAAGGGAGAACCGTCCCGCCAACGAGCCAACAACTGGTCCACACACCCACATCCACAGCACTCGCACGGTACAGCCAAGCACCGAGCACAGCGCAGAAAAGAAAAAGGCACATGCATCACGCATGCAAAATGGGTGAATACAAATACTCGTACCGTAGAATGAAATAAAAATAAGGGTATTAAGCCAAAATCCCCAACCTCTCACTCCACCCCTCCTCCCCCTCAAAAATAAAAAATAAAAATAAAAAAAGTAAAATTAACGGCACCACACCCACAATTTCAACCGGCTCCCAAACCGCCGGTACACAATGTCTATCAAAACGTAAGAAAATCATTGCGGGCGTGGGGGGGCGTTCGCTATGGGTGGGAGGTGAATTCGGTTGATTCGAGTCCGTATCCGAGGCGTGGTGTGTGTGTGGAAGGGGGGGGAAAGGGAAAAAAAAAAAAGGGAAGGGAAAGTAAGGGAGGGAAAAAGAAAAATAAATAATGGGATGGATGGATGGAATGAGGTGAAGAAAAACTTGCACTGTTTATCGAGTGAGCCCTGTGGTGGACTATTGAATCGGGGTGCCATTATACTACGGCAGCTGGCTGGCTTGCTATCGTATGATGGTCTGGACAAAGAAGTGTTGATGGGGGTAAAGACGAAGACTGAAGGAAGGAAGGAAGGAAGAAAGGAAGGGAAACACACAAATCCACCCGTGTAAACCCGTTCGTCAACCCGTACATACTCGCGGCCGTCGTGACTGCGCGCTTTACCTTAGTTCATCTTACTTTACCTTACTCTACCTTACTCTACCTTCCTTACCACCCTTCTCCAGGCCGCCAGCGAGTGATTCCCCGTGACTCCTATCGCGATAAGCAAGAAGGGGAATCAGGAATAAAAATTACCGCACACGGGGTAACGGAGTTGTAGATACCGGATTATCGCAAGTAGCAGTACGGTACCCGTGCAATACCGGTATGATAGCAAATATGCATGTGTGTGTGCTCGAGTACTCTTCCTACCGTGCAGTGCCGTATGTGTGGTGGTGGGTGTCGGTATGTTGGTGGGACGGAAATAGATGCTGAGAGATTTTCGCAAATTGCGGGGGTGGATGGGGTTCGCTTAGTTCCCGGCGTGGGGGGTCTTGTTTGAGGATTCTGCACCATGCTTGTCGGTAGGGTTGGGTGGGCTGTTAAAAAGCCTCGTTGGAATTTGGAAAAGGGGGGGGGACCGGGTGGATGGGTTAGGTGGTACGATGAGCACCATGGGTGACTTGTAAGGGGGTTTTTTTGGGGGGGGGAGTTTGTGGGGGTACCGGTCGATCGAGTGAGAATTTCTGTGGTTTGAAGGAGGAGGGGGGGAGCAGTTGCGGGTGTGGCTTTTCGTGGTACGAGTGTGGTTAGAAAGCTAGCTACTGTAGCTACGGTAACCTAGCCAGAGCTTGCAGGTATCATACCAGAAGCTGGTTTGCGCTGGTGTTGTATAATACCATTACCGGTATAAGTATGATATGGTGATAGAGGTACCGGTGGGTGGTTTGGGGCCACGGTAACTTTCGCGTGGTGCGTTGTAGTGCAAAACGAAACAACAGTCAAACCAGCCCAGCCCAGCCCTCCTCATCGGGAACAGCGAACAATCCCCGGTTCTAGGCGGAGATCAGTACCGATACGCTAGCCTAACATCGCCTCAAAATCAAGAGGTCAAAGCGTGCGGATCGTTCTAGCCTTGTTTTTCATTTTCATTTCATTTTTTCACCTTACCAGTAGTGGGGAATGTGAAAGGAAAGAAAAAAGGAAAAAAAACAAAAAACAGCTTCACCAGGCCATCGCTTTTGCTTGTATCCTGTCCATAGATCCATTTATTGGGCCTGTGGGTTTGCCTAATAAGTCCATCGCCGGGAACTTGCCGCTTCCGAGCTGGCTCCCCTCAGACAAGAAGTACCGGTACTCGTACTCGTACTTGGGAAGAGGGTTTCTCGAAATATATCGTCAATCATCCATGCGAATCTGTGCGTGTAGGCGAAAATGTGATACACATGGAATTTTCGCACCATATTTTGAAAATCCCTCTTCTCAGGTACTTCGTGCCTGCTACGAGCACTTTTGCCAAACCAGTTCGGAGGCAGGAGGAAAAGAAACGGAGGAAAACCCCTTAATTTGTGGGCCCCCATGCCGGGTGAGTCAGATTTAAAATCTCTGGTGCAGGACTGTTGCGCTGGTAGTCAGCAAGGAAGTAGGTGAGCAGGTCGCCATACGGAGCAAGAAAGGGCATACCGGCGTTATAGTGACAGCTCATCTCTCGTACCATACCGTATGCCTAATGCACATTTGCCTGCCGGGGGTGGGCTTTGTTGCCGATAGGTAGGTTTTTGTTAGTTGTACCAAGTAGGCAGGCAGTTTCTTCCTGGACTGGAAAGACTGGCCAGTAACCTGGGGTACGGTATGGTGGAGTAGAATGACATGTACCCGTAGGGCACTTGGCTGACAGCACCGCCAGTTGTGATATATCTCATACGATACCGTGTCTGCCTCCTTGCTTCCCCCCCATCCCGTCTAGGCACTGGAATACGCAATCCCAATCCCCCAATCCAGTTCAAGTCAATGCAATACCCCCCCCCCTCCCCAAATCAAGTAAACTCCCCTCCGAAAGTAGTAACCCAATGCAGGGAACCGCATCGGCAATCGATCGTGCATATTCATAGACGGTACATACAGCCAATGCCGTATATAGAACATTCTAGATCGGGATCTGGTTGGTCGATTCAATCGGTGCCATCCACCCATCCACCAATCCATCGACCAGCAAACGCTGGTTATGTATTAGTAAGGATATCGTAGCACGTTTGTCGCGGCGGTATCTTGAATTGGCCCACAGCGCTTTTGAACGCTGGGTGGGAATACGTCACCTGTTAGAAGAGGATAAGAGGGATAGGAGGAGGAGCCGGAGGAGGAGGAGGGGGAGGAGGTGGAGACTGGCTCTGGGGGTCGCGGGTTTCGGGTTGGTGATCTGCGGCGAAGATTCGATCGGGAGGTTTCCGGAGTGCAGGTGGAAAGGGATATAGGCCGAGGGAGTCAGAAGTAGGGCAATTGCCAGTCTGCCGGGAGGTGGGGGCATTGATGGTAGGTGGAGGAGAAGGAGCGGAAGGAGGAGCGGGAGGAGGAGGAGGAAAAAGAGAGAGCAGGAGCATGGCTTAGACTTTCTGCTTTTGTTTGTCTGTATGTCTGTCGTGTTGTCTTGCCTTGTGTCACCGTAATGGTATTACGAAGCTTCACAGTCATGGAACAACCAATATGCAAGAAATAAACTTACAATCCCAACCTACCGTACTCGGTTTGACACTGAGGGTGTAGGTGGTGGAGTTATTCTTGTTTTGGCCTTTAAGGGGGGAAAAGAGGAAAGAGGGGAAAAAAAGGTATGTTTTTGAATATCCTAATGTTGACTGCCAAAAGCAAGTAATTGGTTACTGTCGCGGACGTACTCGGTTATGCTGGCCAACTCCTTCTACATAGGGTACCGGTATGCACTTCGCAGAACTCATTTTATGCGTGCCGTCGGAGCAGAAATTGTAAGCGGTTTGGGGCGAGTGGCTTGTTTTGTCATGGACTATTCACTTGAGTACGTAAAGAAATCTCCCGCATTGGTGGCTTCCCAGTCATGATTTGTCACTCGGGACCTTGCCAGAGCGAGGACGGGTTGCGAGTCAGAAAGGAGCCATAATGGCTCGTGGCATGCAGGAATAGAGGGCAGCGGGTCAGAATGATCACGGGGGCGAAATGTGTGGCAGCCCCAGTGCGTGCTGGGAAAGTGGCATGTAAGCTCCCTCGCCTACTGCTGGTGATGTCGCGGTTATGACATAAAAGAAGGGGCACGGTAATAGATGTATGTGCTGGAGCAGGCGTGGGAGAAGTTTTAGATGTTCCGCACTGGCCACAATGGACCACTCTAGAAGATTCCAATTTGCCCTAGGTGGGGAATTAATGGTGGTCTATATCATTTCCATCTTATTCCCTTGGCTTGGATTCAATCACGTTAGACACCACTACTTTGAGATGCCATGCGACGGTATGCGGGTAGTAGTTTTATTTAATATCATGGCTGTATGTATATTCCTGCATGTGGGAGAGACGTGTTTTTCAAGGCAGGAAGCAATTATTCTCCTTGATGAATCATAGGCTGTAACGGCCTGTAGGGAATCACGCGAGTGGTTTTTGAGGTATTAGTTGAACGGAGTAAAGTCTGGGAATCCGGGGCTTGGTCATACAATTTCCTGTAGTATTCGGGATGGTGAGAGGTATTATTCACTGGCCTTATGCATACATGGGGGACATGAGAGAAATGTGTAATTGAATGGAAAGATGCTTATTTCCCTCTGGTATCAGCAGGGAGTGGGAGGTTCTGACCGGCACTTGCCTGAGTTTGGATACCTCGGGTATATGGAACAAAGGACAAGGGGCGGTATTCTGAAGAACTTGGGGATAGGGCGAACAGGAGTATTAGCAATCAGGGTCCACACCTTGCTTCTCACGTTTTTTTTTTTGAGATAGCGGGGAATGCGATCTGTAATTCCTGATTGCGGGGGATCGCGTGGGGCGTGTATGCTAAAACGGGTCTCCGGTTGTTCCTCGGCATGTGAAAGGTGGAGGTGCTGCGCTATGGGAGGGTTTGTTCGATAATTTACACTTGCTAACGTGGGTATTGAATTGTGAGCTGGGTTTTGTTACACGGCAGGTGCTGGTTTGTATCATTTCGAACATAACGAACGGGGCCGTATTAGAGGCGCATGGAAGCATGAAGTATTAGGTGAGCAGTCCTTAGTCACCCGAGTATCACATTTATCGATATCGGTCGAACTAGTTGCTGGCAAGCTGTTGAGATCCGCCACTCATACTTCATACTACTTATGCACTAGCTTCGGCCCGTTCGTTGTTTTTGAAATAATATGGTATGTGCTCAAGAATAGGGCGAGTCGAAAATGTGGGGAGAGTCGTTCTCACATCCCTGGACACCTCTAACACTTGGCAGTAGATTGTATGTAGTTAAGCCTTTAACATGTCCAAGAGTAGAGAAGAAATCCCGTGGGCGGTATGAGATTTTTTCTTTCTTTGCCAGGAGGGTATTATATTTATGGCAGCTAGGCTGATAAAGTAGGGCTTGTGGACTAACCCTGTTCCCGAGCCCTGAAGTAAGTCAGTGAAACTTTGTGGAGGGCCGTAGAACTGACTGGGGGAGCCATTTAGTGCTTGAGAGAGATATGGCCATTTTCTCAGGGCTACGTGGGAGGACAGGAGCTAGTCGGCTATATAAACACTTCCTGTAGGAGTCAACGTCATGACTTACGGCCCTGCGGGTGTCTCGGGGGGAGTATGGCTAAATCTTGGCTGCAGAACCCATAGAAATTCCGTAAACCACGTTCGCCGGAGTTGCACCTACACCCGGGGCACACCTCCGGGAGAGCGAAAACCGTAGATAACCTCCCCAGTCCCCTTCTCTTAGCTCGTTGCTCCTCGGAAACTGTGGTGCTGTAGTGGAGTGTACAAAGCACGAGTGACAGCTAATGACAAAATCTCAGCATAGAATTTTGCACACTCCACCGGTGGACTTCAGTGAGATAGGGAATCCGTAACTTGATCAATCCACGAGTCTTTGAATTAAAATTAAACGGTATATTATACTTAGTATTTGTGTGACCTGGTTGGTTAGGCCTTGTAATGGGCTACCAAGGATTTAATACGGCGTTCCCAGTCTAGGCTAGCTTGGGGAAATCTTGCCCTTCAAACCAGCCCACTCAATTGAAGCACGTCTCACCAACGTTCTGAAGGTGTATACTGGGGGGGGATCCTCTGGTCGGTCGGGGTAGCGCCGGGTCGAGCTTCTCAGAAAATATCTGGCGTAGTGATACTCGAATTAGTATTGTGAGGACTTTCTTCTCATTTACAGACTACATCAATAGCCCATGCCCGAGAGTGTTCTTGAACCCCCTAATGCATCACTGCCATAGTAGCTGTGTTCTATAACCTATCCTATGGGAATGGGTGTGGGTAAGCTCTAACCTATGGTGTTCCAACATCAAAACTATCCTCCATTCCAGAGAAAATGCGAGCTACCCCGCCCATATCCCGGTTACCCTGTATTAGAAAGATGGGCTCTGCGTTAGTTTCGATTGAATATCACGTGAAGACTGGGACCCTTGCAGAAGCTCTGAGGCGGTCCTATATAATTGGAATATGGCTGAACTTCATTATAACGGTTTTTCCGTGATTAGCTATGGACGGGCTTTAAAGGAAAATAGGGTCAGTGATAGTGTTCTCCCTCTCCCTCTCCCTAAAATAATAGCATTGTTTGCTGTATTCAATCCGGTAATCATACCTGGACATATTTGCGGTACCCGTATTTCCCCAACCAATTCACCTGACTTCCTACTATATCTACTCCAACAACTCACGTTCCAGGGCGAGGTGGGCTTCTCGAGCTCATCTATCGCCGAACCTAACCCGTCCAAACGCGGTATCTGATTTATCCCGGCCGAATTCAACTCCGATCTATCTTAGCCCAAGAACAGTTGACATGATTTCGGAGTTTGTGATCAGTATGGTACAACGAGGTGATTGGCCTGAGAGATTCCGCGAGAGATTTCTTGTGACAACTGATCGAGGGTAAACAGAGTGGTTGGGCTCTGGATGATCCTTGCGAATATCTTGGGCTGAGGAATTCCTTGTGGAGAGAGTTCAAAAGGGTATATTGTAATTTTACACTATGAGTTTTTGATTGTCTGGAGTTTAAAAGGAGCCATGTTCTTACGGATAATCGATTCAATGTGTGTCGGAGTCATAGACTGGTCGAAAATTAATTTTTTTGGTGTCGGTTAATCCCTATTTCTGCTTGCCCATGCGTCTTCAACGGTTGGCACTGGTAATTGTTGGGATCGATAGAGATAGTGAGTTATGGTTGGTCATGGAAGGCACAGGTAGGATGCTGGGGGGGCAAGGTTGTTTCTGGGGGTTATGGGAGTACGTTTTATTTTTTGGAGCATCAGAGATTTGTCTGAAGGTTGGGAGAGGGTTCTAGAGATATGTCTTTCATTTTTTATCACGGAAGTGGGCGGAGGAACTCAGACATGTGTGGAACCACAGAGATGGGTGTAGCCATCCATGGAGGGATCAGGTTGCTTTGATGATGTTTTACTTATACACCTGTCATTACCGATTAGTTCAAGATCAGAGTTATCCCACCACAGCGAAGTCCCATCCTATTCCGCTCTGTTACCGCGGCGCATTCTTATACTAGCGTCTATCATAATAGCAATCCGTGCGAAAAGCCTGGATGAATGAGAGGGTTTAGGTTAACTTAGATCCACCGACAACAGGAAAATATGAGAATTTGGTGATCCTTTTGGCTTACAACAATGACTTGCGCTACCCGGTGTTCACAACGGTCCGGGGGTTCGGCAAGGAACGCGGCAGGCGATTGGCAAGAACTCGGGACGGGACTGGACGGCTTTCCTGAAACTTGCTCTGTCCGAGGCGACGATACCAGCACCCCATGGTGGCCTCCTATGGGTCGGCCGATATGGTGAGACAGTGGAGTCTAGGGGTGGAGGTGGGACACGGGTTACTCGAAGGGACGGCATGAGCGATGTTCCATGCGCTTGACATTAAATCTTTAGGTTGAATCGCTAATACACCTGCTGTTGGGGGATGATGGTTTTTTGGATTTTACCTACTATCCAAATAACGACTCCTTTCACTGTGTTCCACAATCCGTGGGCGAGAACCGGGGAATTGGGGTAGTAGGGTGGGAAAGTGTTTAGTTTAGGAGAGGGAGGGGGGGGATATGGTCCAAAATTAGGTGGGGTTACAACCGGAATGGGTATTCCGAGTGATACATATGATATAAAAAGTGGCAGCTTGGGGGGTGTAATTGAGTGACCAAATATGGAGGGAGGAGCCGACGGTGGGTGATTGGGGAAGCTTGCCACGACAGACTAGATTCCCAGGCCCATAGTTCTTCCGGGCCTTGGCATATAGGGAATGGGCAGTCAGTCCCCCCAGGAATGACGGACTATCCCCGGTAGCCCGTTTAGTGCTGACATCCCCTGGGGTGACGGGTCAGAACTTTGGAGGGATAGTTAGTGCAGGCCACGATGGCCTCTCTGTTCCCTTACAGAATTCGCTGACCGTGGGCTCACGAACAGCAGGTGATTCTTGACACTTTATTTGGTTGTTCGGCTAGTTGCATGGTGTCCCTACGGATTCTTGCCAGGGGTGAGTCACTGCGAGTGATATCTAGTGAGTTCTCATTTGCCTGAATCGGACTACAATGCTTTCTTCTGGGCGGTAATACCTATAACTAATTAGCGCAGTATCCGTTTCCAGTGAAGCCCAAAGCCTGCTATCACTCTTCTTGCGCTCTAGGGTGTCTGCTCATGCCAACACGGATATGACCAAATCACCTTTAGTGGAAGGTTCAAGTTTAAAGCGTATATTTCCTCCCAAATATCTCCACTAGATTAAGCTAATGCTAATAATGTTTGTGCTAATGAGTGATAAAAAAATTGTAAACCCCATGCTCCCATCCTCGAAACGGAAATGCGAATCTAACTCCACAACCATGCAATGCAATTATTAAAAAGAAAGAAGAGGGGTCTAAGTAAGATGGTAAAATAATGGAAACCACCCGGCAACTGCTTCATCCTTAAAAGGCATCAATTCTCAATCCACCCCAAGCCGCATTCCAAACAACCTCATTGTTATCCCCAACAGAGACAACCTCATATGCCTTGGCCCCCTGAGTCGGGCAGTCGAAAGTCAATCCGGAACCATCAACAACCTCAGCCTCGGCCCACCCGGTGACACGGAAGGTGCCCTTAAACTGATCCCTGAAAGGTCTGTGATTGAAGGTGGAGCTTGCGATGTTTATATCCCCGATGGTGTACACCTGGATCTCCCCGGTGCCGCTGAACTGAGTCGGGTATCCGAATGCCAATCGGCACTTATACCCACTGAGACTCTCGCGGAAATCGAACTTGACGAGGGCTTGGGAGTTGTGCTTGCCGTTGGCGCGGGAGACGATTCCTTTGTCGCTAACGCCGAGGGGGGTCTCGGGGGCGTCTTCGTTGATGTTGACCACCAAGTTGGAGTTGATCACTTCCTTGACGTGATCACGGGGAGCGAGGTTCTCCGCGGCGGGGAGGGCAGTGGCTAATGTGGCGAAGATAGCGATAGCGGAGGAGAAGATAGCATACTTCATTTTGATTGGTTTTGTTTGTATAGGTTTGGGAAGTTGGTATTGATGAGTAGAAGAGGGAGGTTATGAGAATTAGAAGATTGAGAAGATAGTGAAAATGGTAATGTGACTTTGTAGTACTGTTGAGAGATGTCGGAGAAGATGGTTTTTTCTAGATTGTGGGATCTAGGAGAGTATTTATGTATCTCATCTTCTTGCGCAGTGCTTAGATCTCCGAGTCAATCATTGTGATGCTATTATCGATACCACAAGGCAATACCTGCACCGCCGAGGATGACTACTGTTGGCACTTGTCTGTGGTGCTACTCCCGGCGATCCCCGCGAAAACCTGGAGTTTCGATAAACTTAGGGTAAGTTGCGGCTGTGGTGGCAGCCCATAGCTAGGTACAGTACAGCCTTGAATGATGGCCATTTTTTTGTGGGTCAGATGTTGTGGCCGAGAATCCATCCTCCTTACTTTTGTGTGTGTCTGTTTTCCCGGCATATCTTTCCACTCGTTCGGCTAATATCCTGTCATATCAATATTATGATATATTTCGGGTGGGTCCAACATGAGAATGGCCTATTTCCATGCGTGGCTCAGTGGGGCTTGGGGCTTACGTTGGGCAACCGTGTTTCTGGAAACCCCCAAACCCTGGCCCTGGTGCTCACTACCAATCATCACGCCGTAAGGACTCGGGTAATTGGACCATGTGCTATGTACTCGGGTACAGTAGCCCAAAATTTCCTCCTCTGGAGAACGGGGCAAATACACACCAGACAACCGCGGTATTGTACCGAAGCAATTTTAAAAGGAAAAAACACCGGACCTTACCGAGAGAGACAAGCCCAACGTCCTATGTGTACCGCGCGGTCTGGTTGTTCGAGTCCTTACGGTAGTTATATCCCCAATTAGGAAATGGCTGAAATCGAAAGATAAGCGAGAGTTAGCTGGTTGGGCCTAGATACTGCAGCCCGATTGTCGTTTGCAGGCGGCTGAGCTGTGTTGGCTGCACCGTGATGAGATTTGGTAGGGCTGAAACCGTAATAGCATGATGTAAAATAGCATCCTTGACCGAAGCCAGCGGGAGTCGGGCCGAGTTACTAGCCGCAGGCAGGGTGTACCGAGGGAGGGCGGTGTATGTTTTGTATAGTGCTTAGATGCGAGTAGATTTTTAGCCGTATGTTTCCCTAGTCCCTCTCCACCATCCCTGTAGTCTCCGGGTTCTGGGGAAAAAGCTTCTGGGGGGGGGGGCGTTTTCCTGACACGGTGTATGATTGGCCTACTGGACGTGCTGGATCTCATTAATCCCTATTTTCAATTCTGTTAACCTGTCAACCCAAGCCTACAGTTGGGTTTAACGACTGCCTTCTGCTGTTGATCCGATCGGGGATTTAAGGGCTCTTTTACCATATTCGCAGCAGACCCTTAGGTTACCGTAGTTAGCAGCTATTTCGGTTAATCTGTCTGTCACGGGTGCCTTTTTTTCCTTTTCAGCTTGGAAGCTTAGCTGGAGATCTCTGGGATTTAGGAGGAAGTAGAACCGCTGGCTAAGCTGAACAAATTTATAAGAGTACGATGTTTCTGCAGTCCGAGAAAATCTACATCTTACCAGACCAGGAGCGAAAAGAGTAAAAAGATAAACCTAATGGGAGTAATGCTGTAGTTGGTTTATGTTTTAGGGTTAGCTTTTCTGAAGTTGGAATTAAAATAATATCAATGGGTCAGCACCAATGTCTCAAATGTTGAGGAACTAGTCACTACAGCGTTGGCGAGGATATACCGGTAGTGGTTAGAATTGACTCGGGGGGTACCACATATGACCGATGGTCGGTGTGTGATACCGTGGAAACTCATGGGGGCCCGACTGGGGCTGGGGGAGCACTGGATCAATACTGGGTGCAGTGTCAGCTAGTGGTGCAGCTAGTGCAGTAGCTGCGCCGAGCTTACCAGCAGAGGCTTACCCCACCGTGAGCCATCAGGCTTCGGGTTGGGCCAACCAAGCACAACCAAGCTGGGAGAAATAGTAACTAGTCACATGATAGTCTCTAGCACCGCCCGGGCTTTGGTGGGTATATTGTTGCAAAAGGGAAGGAGGAGTGAGCGAAGGGGGAAAAAGCGGATCCTATGGAACCATCTACTTATGATACTCTCTAGATAGCCTTGTATGTTACTAAGAGACGTTCTTGGTTTACCCTGTGTGTACTCGTGCTTCTCTACCAAGTTTGGTTTCCACATTTGTAGTAGGGAGGGCGAGTCACTTGACGGATGGAGAATAGTGGGGGGCTGGTATATGGCAAGCGACAACTAAACAACTTGGAGCATGATAAGTACGGCTATATTCTCCTTAATTACCTTTCAATGGTCATGTCCTATTAAACCCTGGTCACTATCGCACTATGCTACTTATCGAAGGCCTTGAGCTTGAATATATATATAGTTCATTTACGTACAGGCAAGGTGGTGGTGGGGGTAGATCAGAAACTATCCTTCTCTAGGAGAATATAGCCGATTTTCCCCTCTACCGGTATTCCAAATGGGGGAACCAAAACTTGGCAGAGAAGCACGAGTATTCCACATGAATGTATTATAATAGTTGACTGTCTACACAAGAAAGGAGAATAAGTTAGTGTTACTCTGATTGGGTAAATCTCTGTTCCAACCGTCTTTCAAGGTCTTAAAAACGATGTTAATTTTTAGAGATAGTGGCTTTGCTAGATTAGGTTAAAGCCGAGCCACATATTATATGCGCCTGAGGTAGGAGGAATATATATGTATTTTAATCCGCTTTAGACTCCTAAGCGCGTTGGGTATCGCGGGGACCGGGAAGGAATTGTGTGACGAGTTGGTGGGCTTTATATTGTTTATTGTGCAATATAGCCTGAGAGAAGTGAAACGGTGTTACAACGGGGGTAGGGGAGGGCTCTACAAAGCACAACGGGAACGAAATGAACGAGTGAATGTATGTTGGGTGACTGCTGCTTCGCCTAAGTTTGTGAGTGTGCGCTGCTGACTTCTAACACATACCGGACTCCCCCGTCCTCCATTCCCCCCTGACGCCCTCTTCTCCGTTCAGGACAGCTCAAATACAGTACTCCACTGTTAATATTTGGGAAGCCAGGGCCCATGACCCCGTGGCGGTGCCACCCGCGCTTGTTAAACGCTCCAGTGACTCCCGAGTATCACAAATTTGCATAACCCAACTCTCTTAAACCGGAAGCAAAACCCCCTGCTTTTTAAACCGGTGAAAACCTATAAGTATCCAACAGCTATGCTGAAGGGGATGCCATGAGTGTAGTTGGACTCATTTTGGCAGTGCATGACACTTCAATCTCCGGGGATGTAGTGATCTAGGCGGGTGTCGTGCAAGAACTGCACTTTTGCCCGGAACAACCTTCCGATACAATGGCAGACGGCGGCTCTGTGTAGTGTCTTTTATATTTAGGAGCCACTGCGTACATACTCTACGCGGTGAGTGCCGGGGGGCGGGAAACTTGCTGTGCCCGACGGTCAGTCCTAAACGTCCCTTCTGCTTGTACTGTTGGTCCCATCCTTCACAGAGGATGGGCGGTCTGAACTATTGGGTACGCCGACACCCCTCACGTACAGGGAAGGGTGGGCGGGGTGCGGGATGTTTTGGAAAATATATTATCCTGTGGAAAGAAGAGGTGATGTTGAACCCCACGTGTAAATGCGTCTTCAACAGTTGATAGAGCCGGTTGGTGTGAAGGGGTCGGCTCGAGTATCACCGAGTTGAGTAGCGGATACAAGGTGGGGAAATAGCTCGTGTGCTATGCCCTCATCTTTGCTTGGGCACAGTTTATTTGACTCGATGGCCCTGTAGATGTCTCAAATTTACGAATATAGCGCTCCTCGACGGATGACCTAGGGTAATAATATAGACCTACGGGAAATAGGCAGGAGCCATCGTTAGGCAAGGGACTAAGGGCCCTTGTTATCTTCTTCGTGGGCGGAGGTCTTTCTAATTGAAGGGGACGCTCGTCTTACAGCTTGAGTCACTATCCCTGGGATACTGCCACTATCCATACATCGAGTGGAGTTTCCTTCCGATTTTCAATAAAAGTAAAGTAGTTCTCAGCTGATTTGAGGCTTGCCCAGGGCCGTCATAAACAGAGCAGGCAACTTTTCTCGACTAAATTCTTTGTTCTGGCTAGTAGTACCAGTAACTAGCTATCGATAGTGCAGTATCTAGTGAAACTCGAAGCATGTTATTTCTCTTGTGCTTAGCGGTTTTTGCTGGAGCTCGCACGAGTCAGACTAAATCTCTTTTCATAAGGAAGACAGGCTTAAAGTGTATATTTCCTCCATATATTTTCACTAGATGATTAATCTAATACTAGTGGTACTTGTACAATTGAATGATAGCAAATTCTGTAACCCTGTGCTCCGATCCTTGAAACAAAATGCAAACCCAACCCAGATACCATGCAGTGCAATGCTTAAGAGAAAGAAAATAGAGTTAAATAACTGGGTGAAAGAATGGGATCCACGGTGTAAGCGAGAGCTCAACCAACAACCACTCCGTCCTTAAAAGGCATCAATTCTCAATCCACCCCAAGCTGCATTCCAAACAACCTCATTGTTATCCCCAACAGAGACAACCTCATATGCCTTAGCCCCCTGAGTCGGGCAGTCGAAAGTCAATCCGGAACCGTCAACAACCTCAGCCTCGGCCCACCCGGTGACACGGAAGGTGCCCTTAAACTGATCCCTGAAAGGCCTGTGATTGAAGGTGGAGCTCGCGATGTTTATATCCCCGATGGTGTACACCTGGATCTCCCCGGTGCCGCTGAACTGAGCCGGGTATCCGAATGCCAATCGGCACTTATACCCACTGAGACTCTCGCGGAAATCGAACTTGACGAGGGCTTGGGAGTTGTGCTTGCCGTTGGCGCGGGAGACGATTCCTTTGTCGCTAACGCCGAGGGGGGTCTCGGGGGCGTCTTCGTTGATGTTGACCACCAAGTTGGAGTTGATCACTTCCTTGACGTGATCACGGGGGGCGAGGTTCTCCGCTGTGGGGAGGGCAGTGGCCAAGGTGGCGAAGATAGCGATAGCGGAGGAGAAGATAGCATACTTCATTTTGATTGGTTTTGTTTGTATAGGTTTGGGAAGTTGGTATTGATGAGTAGAAGAGGGAGGTTGTGAGAATTAGAAGATTGACAAGATAGTGAAAATGGTAATGTGGCTTTGTAGTACTGTTGAGAGATGTCGGAGAAGATGGTTTTTTCTAGATTGTGGGATCTGGGAGAGTATTTATGTATCTCATCTTCTTGCGCAGTGCTTAGATCTCCGAGTCAATCATTGTGATGCTATTATCGATACCACAAGGCAATACCTGCACCGCCGAGGATGACTGCGGTTGGCACTCATCTATGATACTACTCCTGGTGATCACCGGGAAAACCTGGAGTTCGATAAACTTAGGGTAAGTTGCGGCTGTGGTAGCCCATAGCTAGGTACAGCCTAGAAAGATGGTCATTTTTCGAAAGTCAGCTGCTGTA